TAAACTATGTTATTATTCAAGATATTTGTCTCTTTAACTGTCAGTAATATTTTTTGTTATAATTGAAAAGCCGACACTCTTATTTTTAAAACTTTCTTTTTAACAAAGTAATATATGAAATAATTTTGACTTTGGTGTTACTTCTGTAGATGTTAATATCCAATTATTTACTCTGCTCTCTTTTCCTTAACTATTGTCTATTTATACTTGCTAATAATTCATCTCAGAATCAGATCGATAAATAAATTAATCTTTGCAACTTAATATTATTGCTGAGTTAGTTCACATCGGCAATCATACAGTTGTTAGACAATTTATTTCATTTCCAGTCCTCTTGCAGACTGGAGAAAATCATTAAGCTGCACACCTTATTATTGATAATAAAACAAAACAAAACAAATAGATTAGTTCTGTAAGCTGCCATTACCGTCTATGTTTATTTAAAAATAATTCAAAGTTGCAGGTAAATTATAAGATTTTTGAATAGTGAATTGATAGAAGGTAGATCTGTTAAATGTGGTAAATTAAGCCCAAACATTTTGAAAAGAACTTTCATTTCATACAGATAGAGTTCTCTATGAAAGTTTTATGATTATATATATTCAAAAACAAATCATCATCTTGGATAACTACAGAACAGGTTGTATAATAGGTAAAGCAAATATTCAGGATCATGTCTATTAATTTATTTTGTATTTATTGACAAGTTTTTGTTCTGTAACAGAAATCTTGGGCCTGGTTACTTCCCTACACTGATATATATATATATATATATATATATATATATATATATATATATATATATATATATCGTGAGGAATTCATGAATTTCTGGGAGAGCGGTCTTAACCGATAAAAGTTAAAAATGCAAACCAAACCAGTGGATCCAAACATAGTAGTCTTAAGTTAACCCTCTCTTGTCCAGGACCTGGAATCTAGTGTGTCCAAGTGCAGGTGCAATTATGGGTAAAAACTGTCGAGAAGTCATATACAGACTAGAACAAAATAGCCATTCAATCTTTCGTAGTTTACAATGGTTTTCTAGTTAAAATTAGTTCGTGATGCAAGCTACTGATATAGTTATTTTTACTTACCAATGTTTCTTCAGTTTTATCAGAATAACTTTCATAACATTTTGTAATTTCTAAGTACCTTTTGTGTGTAAGTGTTTTGCATTTGTTAAAATTCCCTCTCCTATAAAAAGAAATAAACGTGGTAATGTTCTTTTTTGATATTAACTATTGAACATTTGAATCTTATCGTTTACATATTATGCATTCTTATTCATTTCAATTAGATGATGGAATTAGTATACCATGTTCCTACACATCATATGTTGCTCCTTTACAATCCTTACAAATATATAATGAAACTAGACGATCTAAAGATGTGGTAAGTGGTTGGTTACTCTGATTTGTTTCTAAGTTTTTAGATATAATGAAGAGCAGCAAGTATTATTGTTATTATTCTGTGTAAATTATAAATGATAATCGAAGATCCAGTAAACTACACTTCAGCGTAGTTGAGATTAGCATTGAATAAGTGAATTTCCTTCGCAACAGCCGTTTTAACATTTTGTTTTGTGGATCCGTTTCATGTATCCTATCTCAGCAACTTTTTATATTGAGAAAACAATGGGCATCTGTTGATTAATTGTTACGTTGTTGCTGTTGAGTTCAGTCATGGTTACGAACTTTTTTATTGTGTAACGGCACTACATAACCGCTTGACAACTCAATGTTTCATACTTGAACTATGTGTAAAAAGGTAATAACATATGCACAAGCGATTCACTCAACCGTAGCCCTAATATTTTTGGCTTTTTATGTGTGATATACTAGTTGCTAATTATTGTTACATTATACAGTCATTCGAGTCTAATGCTAATACACAAGATTCCTAAATGCAAGCTCCAAACCATCTTATTAAGTAAAAGCAACTTTATTGGCTATGATTGAATCGAGAATATATGCACACTCATAAATACACATCTTTTTCCCTTGGGGATAAGGTCAACATGAAAATGAATATGGTATTTTTTAATTAGTTACCAATTGTCATCCCACCCACATTGTTTTAATTTATTCCAGACCAGTCCCAGTGATTGGTTAATTGGTTGCTTTAAACTTGAAGAGACAAAATTACCTTGATAAATGTTTTACTTCATTACTTGTACCTTTTTCAATACTGCAGACCAATAGAGTCGGACATTCCATGGAAACACCTTATGTTGTTCGACTTCGTAATTGTCAAATATTGAGTTCACCTCAACCAGCTTTTACATTTGAACATCCAAAAAAAGGTTAGTGAATAAGCTTATTGTTATGTCTTATGTCCTGTGTCCTATTAAAGTATAACGTAATGATACCGTCAATTCAAGAACAGTGAATTATCGACCGAATCAATGACGCATAAACAAGTACGAGCAGTTTAGAGTCCTTATCGGTCGTGCTTCCCGCCTAGCCCTGCCTGTTAAGTCCAGAACACCAATCTCAGCGTCTGCAATATAAATAATTCCAAACATACTGGGTTTATATACCAACCAAACAGACCACATCACACCATAAAATAGGAAACAACATTTGTACAAGATTTAGCCAAAAGTGGCAGTGAATGTGGGTGATAGCAATTGATAGACTGGGCATAACTCAAGAATGGTAAATCGTATAATAATAGTTCATAGGTCAAAATAAAGCTCATAATAAGAGGGACAGAATATGTATAGTTTAGTTACTTGACAATTATACGTATAGTAATAGTCCAGAAATAGATCCCAACAGTTACCATTCATTATTCTCATCGAGATATAACACATATGGTTAGAAATTTTTTCATTCTTAAGTATTTATATTCCCATCGAACAATAAGACATTTCGTTTTTTTTCTAGAATCGAATCAGTCGAATGCACGTGAAGTGTGTTGTAGCTTTAACATTCAACAAGATGCCGTTGTACATGGAATTGCCGGTTATTTCGAAGCAATTCTCTATAAGGACGTAACACTCAGTAAGTTATTGAGAATTATTATGATTCATGTATTTGAGGGAAGTTTCGCAAGAATCCACGTTGGTTGCCAGGCAGGCCATATAAAATGCATATATGCCAAGAGACTGACCAGTTTCAGCTCTTAGCACCAACAATGCGAGTATTCAAACATACAAATTAAATTTGAGAATGCTTAGAATTTCCCTGTTTTTGCACAAACTGGTTTGCTTACTGATTATCTAATAAAATAGCGTATTTTTCTTAAATGTGTATGGGTATCAAGGGTCCTACTACGTGTTTACATATCACGAAGCCTCGTTCTTTTTTCTTTCTAAAACTGACTGTCACAGTAGTGCTTATTAACTAAGCATGTATTTTCTATTCGACGTACATAAAAATGACTAATGACCCGCTCCTATTAGTATATTGAGTGTTAACTCAGACTGCATGCATGTAAAATCCCAAGTGTTTTTAAGGTAATTAGAAAAAACTGCTGGTGTCACCTAAAAATTAAGGATCTTCCTTTTACATCTAAGTGCGTGTTCGTTAGACAACATGTAAACGGCTTTTGACACTTAGCTAACATTCTTTCACTTATGCTCTTATCAACGTATTTTTCTCTCTCAAATCATTTGTTGTTGTTGCCTTCAATTATGTTTGAGCTTTTGTACTATACTGTACTACTACCTATATGGAACAGATTTCCAAGGAAAACAAAATATCCTTGTTCGTAAAGCACCTAATCGTTTTTCAGTAATTTTACACATTAAATGAAAAGTAATCTTGTGACTACACACGGCTGAGATATCTCCGAGCAGTGATGGTTGATAATACTTCCCAACTCTTCAAACAAGAGTACGTTGTATACAGTCCAACCTGCACTAAGCAACCAACCAACCATTAAGTAATTACCACACTGAATAAGCACACATTTTGCTAAAACGCGTTAAGGTCTCGTCCGTTTTTTATTAGGTGATTACTTTCAGTTCACACACAGTGGGAATTGACTGGTAAACATCAGTCGCGGCTTTCACACTAAACTCACCTTTCTCCTACGTATGCTTATCGACTTAACGAAAAGCATCTATTCGGTGATTGCTTTACATCAATATATTAACAAAACTATCTAGAATTTTCAAAGTACCAGACCCTGAATATGACCTGAAATTATATACAAAGTTCATATAATTCTTATTTTCCAGGTACACATCCGGACCGTCATAGCCCTCAAATGGTATCTTGGTTCCCATTAGTATTCCCATTCGAGTATCCAATCCATGTTCGTTCTAAAGATAGGATCACTTTGTACCTCTGGCGTAATGTAAGTAGTCGGTATGTGTGGTATGAATGGGTACTAACAGAACCGCGACCTACAAAAATTCACAATGCAGCTGGTCATGTTTACAAAATTGCACTTTGATTATCATATGTGAAAGACTGAGCTATTACTTTTTTAAACAACTTTGTACAGACATAAAAATTGTTTGTCAATAAAACTATGTTTGCATTATATTTTAATCATAATGAAATAAACAGCTTTCGAGCAAACATATGCTTATTGTACGAGAAACGACTGATGTCCATGTTGTTGCACATTTCTCAAACTTATTTAACACTTCTAACGAGCTCCAACGCAAATAGTTAATCCTTTCTAACATGTGAAGTGAACTAGAAACGTTTCTAAGTTAGGAGTTGAATTTTTAGAATTCTACATTGTGCTCCATGCAATGATATTAATGTTCAGCGATTCTTGTCTGTTATCAGTCTAAGCTTAAACGTTGCAATACACTCAAGTTGAATTCCGCCATACTATACAGTAGAAATTGTTACTGGCATGCGACCATCAATAGGTAGAGCTTCAATCACCTTTAGTGGATTATATATATATATATATATATATATATATATATATATATATATATATATATATATATATATATATATATATATATATATATATATATATATATATATATATATATATATATATATATATATATATAGAAAGAGTAGATTCTGTAAACTTGGGTTACATATTAGATTTGATAGAAATGAAATATTACAATATCTATCCAAATGTCACAATAAACAAAATAGCGCAAATTACTCAACTAATCGGTACCTGTACGCTATTATTTTCAAAATTGAGAGAGCGACCACACTTAGTAGTATTGTATGATAACAAACAATAATACAATGCATGTGTGTGAATTTCATTTAAACAAAATAAAAATAAGAGCAGAACCAGTCTGAATAAGTGGCATATGTATACATATCATTGAATAAACCGAAAACAATTTAAAGGTGAAGAATGAATTATTAAATTGGAGATTATTTTTATCATTGTTGTGATAATTATGGTAAAAAAGCAAAATACACATGGACTGCTCGCACTATAATAAGTAATATTGTATGTACATGTATAAATTAAATTGATTATTGGTCAGTTAGCTAAGCTAGAAAACATATTTACAACGTGAAAAAGAAATGTTTATTGGAGCATTTGGTTCTTCTGAGGTTGTAAAATCCTCGGATCGTCACATTGTTAATTAGAATATTTGACAGTTGAAGTGTTTTGTACCTCGCCGAAAAAGGGATTGTCATTCACTTCAATATCCAATTTTTCGTGAATAGGCTTTTCTGGAATAATTGTTTCTACTCCGCTACTGGTAGCAGAACTTCGTATTTCCTCAATCTCAAGGTTTATTTCCGGCTTGACATTTTGTGTTTGATCTTTATTTTGTGAATGAATACAGTTAGGATGCTTTGCTAGCCAATCAGAGTGGAATTTATGCCATTTGGAAGGCGAATAGTTTCGACAAGTCTGAAACAGGAATATTAAAATTAAATACTATTATGGACAAACAATGATCGGTATAGAACAAACAGGTTGTATTCCCAGATTAACATTATGAACCTTTTTTATACATAATAGATTATAGTAAACTACGATAGGACAACTATTTGAACAGCAACATTGCTTATGTGAATTCTAACCTCAATTATATGACTCCGGTAATTGGATGCTCAAGGCTTTAAATACTTATTTTTCATAAGGGAATATGTCTTCATACCCATCAAAAAATCGATACAAATACTGAGTGATAGCAGATGCTTTCAAAAAGAATAATAACATGGCATTGTTTTACTTCAACTCACTCGTCTACGATATCGAATGAAAATCCCATAGGAACCGACGGACCAATTTATTTTGTGATTACGAGTAACTCTTGAATCCAAACGCTCAGTGAAATGCATGCAATCACTTGAAAATGTATCACGGAATAACTATGGAAAAGGAAAATAATTCATACAACTGTGTAAATAAACACGACTTTCGATTTAACTGTAAGTAGTTCAGAATAAAGATCTATGTAATTTTTACAAATAGTAAATATAGTACACTTTTCAAGGGATTTGTCGACTTTACCTCTTTATACAACAAGTAACAATATTCAGAATTAACTGTATACAAACTACTATGGTCAAATTAACCATTGTATATGTACTATAATTGTTGATACTATGGATTTATCTAAAATGAAGGATAAATGAACTGAGTATGATTAGTATGCCATTGGATTTCATAACGTAATCATGCAATTGACACCTGAAATAAAGAACGGCTTTTTTAATCCTAATATTAACACAATCACAGTTTGCTAAGTACAATTTATCTAACTGTTATAATCTTTATGGAGATTTTCCACTTTCAAATTATTATACCTATGAACACAAAACAGAATAAAGAAGTAGAATTATATCAAAATAAATTTACCTCTTTATGTGTGAGATTATTTTTGAATACTCGGATCATGAACTCCCAAACATCTCGTTCAAAATTTGACGTGTTAGGAGACTTAAATTGTTCATTTGTTTCCGATCTGTTTGCTGAGATTGGATTCTTAACACTACTAGAGACTAAACCTTGTGATAAAATCTAAAATTTAAAAAAAACCAAATCAGAAGTAAAGCAATTTTAGTTGTTTCGATTGTACATAAACAGTAGAATACTAACCCATCACCACAGTAAATAAATACACAGAAACCAACTCCGAAAACAGAAAGAGGTTAACAAACTTAATGATAAGTTGGTAATATTGATTAAGGCTACTCCACATATTGACATTCGTTTATTGATTTGAACACATAAATATTGGTACGAAGGGGCACCGAATAGATATGCGCTGTGATACTCCCCGGGTGCCCAGACCGAAGCAGGACATATTGACAATATAACTGTCGAAACAATATCAAAACTGTTAAGAATAACTACATAGGCGGTGGTGTTTTGTGTTCAATTTGCCGTACTTATTAGTTCTCTTATTACTTAGTATTCTTCGGACGTTACTTCACTTGACAAACGCCGAATCGGGGCGTGGTTGAACATGAAAGTAATTATATTCTAAATAAACAATAGTAAATGGAAGCAGGAATCACAATAAGGTTACTGTTGGTTCAAAGCCCGAGTAAACGAGGAGGGTTAAGCATGGGACCAGTAACCCTGCACCGTAGAAAATAACCTTGCTAAAAGAACACTAACCACGGCCTATCTAAGCATTCGCTAGCGCTGATTGGTTAACAAGTAGCTAGTCAGCGTGCTCCAACACAACCCTGAACGGAACATCCTTTAACCCAATCTATATCTCGCTAACATTTTACAACATTGTCAAGAAACTATATGCAACTAGTCCGTGAAAACCTTTGAAAAAGAGATAAAGGCACTTTCAAAAACAGTTTACAAATAAGGTTAAACAAATAGTACATAGAATGGCGACAGTTAACAAACCTCTTCAGGTTGTATATCTCCGGTATCAACAAGTAACTGTTGTCTTCTTTGAAGTGCATCATGTGTCAAAGCATTTACGCACCTACGAACATTCCGATATAGAAATACCGGTCGAATACGAGAACAGATACTATGTGGAACATAACCAATAGTCCATGAAAGATGAGTTGTAAGATAGTCATACCAGTGCCGGATTGAAAAATTCGATTTTAAATTTTCTCTGTGAAGATGAACTTCCCCATCTACGATGCCAGGATCATCCGAAGTAACTAATAATGAATGAGGATTAAGGTTTGTGTGACCGGAATAAGGAAAACATGAATCATAACTTTTTTCCCCTTCAAGTTTTGTTGAATGCATAGGTTTCATAAGGCGGATAAGCATAGTAGATGACTCCGAGAGTACCACCATTAGAAAACAATTTGGCCAGGAATTAGTATTACTGTTGGAAGTAACATTCGTATTATTTTGACTAGTACTGGATGGAAACGTTCCAGAACTAGATCCAACGTTGCAAGAGCCATTAGCACCAGCAAAGGCGGAACAAATAGTCATAGCTTGAGAATGGTATGCACTTTCATTAGCTAACCTACACATACGAGTGTACAATGGACCACAAACGTTCCTACAGAGAAAAAGATTCAATCATCTCAATTAAAAATAAACAGCTCACTAATATGGCAATATTCAACAAGCAACTAAAAGTTGTCCGTTCAAATTTTCAGGTTACAGAATATGGTTTACAAATTCATATAGAATTTTATTTAGGTTTGGTGGCAACTAATTACAAGTTCACTCAGTATTCTGTGGAATATGCCTCATATATGAAGAGTAATTCGTACGTACTAGGCTCCTCGAGTCTCAACATGTCCAATTAATCTTGAACTCATAAAATACAACACGACATCTGATGAGTACTTAACAATTTTAGCAACAACAATATTAAGGCTATATGAACAGTAAAACATTCAAGGTACTACAGAATCAGCTTTAATATGCATTGTCAGTAAGTAAAAACTTCCGGTTCATATCAATAAAAGTAGGTTGAAACGTTTTAGATGATCAGATGATAGAATATAAAGTTGTAATAGTCTTTATTACACTCCTCCGTAAATCTATCATATTCTGAACAAACTTGAAGCCAGAATGATCAGATGACAAATAAACCACTCTAACCTTACGAGTTATTTTGCATGCCTTTATGTATTCGTCTTTGTCAATCCTGTTAATGGTATTTTATCTTTCCATATACGTGTGCTGTTTGGTACTTATGCATCTATCTGCCCCTCTCTTTGTCTGCGTGGACCATAAAAACTGAAACACAAAACTATCCAATGAGTTGGTTAGTACACAAATTTCAAAACTGTGTTAGTATATTTACTTTCTCGATGTCTACCAATACGAATTATATTCTCAATAACATTTCGCATTCAGCCTTGTTGTTTTGTTCAACTTGACAAATTTAAGAACGTGTAGGTTCAAAGAGAACTATAATTCGTCATTGGAATCGAATCCACTTCCACAACCGACGAATCAAATGTAAACAACAGTAAAGCCAATTATCACAAATTAAATAGTCTATATAAGTTTTAAAGATCAGAAAAAGGAGTTCTAATAGAAAAATTAAACCCAGTAATTAAAAACCATTATTTTACATGTCTCTGACTGATTTTAGTAATCTAAATGAATAAACTGTTTGTAAGTTTCTGAACTGTAAATATTTCACCATCCTATGCCTTTTCATATTTTTAACTTCCGTAGTCAACTTACACAATTCACGTTATTCTTATTTATTATTTAAACACATAAACATTGGTACAAGAAGGCACCAAATATATTTGCTGACTGTATAAACTCTACGTTATATCAATTAAAATTAGAAAAAAATAACGCTCAAGCGTAACAGAAAATTAAAGTATATTTAATGAGCTACAGTGAACTTACGAAAATTGAGGAAAATTTGAAGCAATACAAGTTGACTGAGAGTTTCGATCACTATATGATGAATTCCCAATCCAAGAACGATGTAAAGCAGTTAGTCGACGACTTAGTTCGTCACCACTTGCAAGTGCTTGCAATTGACGAACTATATTTATTATAAGACGATCCATTGTAAACCATGGATATGCATAAATGCTAAACATATCTCGTAATCGATCCTCAAATGTGTTGATATCTTCCCCTCCATCTAATAAATCTTTGACTAAATTGAGAGCGCGAGAGTAATATTGCGACGGTTCAGTACCACCTGTACATATTCACATAAATGAAAGTTGTAACATCAGTAATCAAATGAGAGAAAATATTGAAAATTTGAAAGTATAAAATAGCAATGCTAAAAACTGGAGAAAAACTGAATTTATTTGTACTTTGGAGAATGACTTTGAGTCATAGTTTCAACCATTTATTGCGCTGTTTAAAGTAGCTTTTTATCTTATCCGAAGGCTTTTTGGAACAAGTTCAGAAAATTTAAGATACATGTACTTGTTAAAACAGCCGAACAGAAAGGAGGGTCTATCTTTGATTTTTTTGTCATGCGTCTAAAATAACTTCGGTAAACGGAAGAGGTAATTTAAATAGTGCAATCACTAGACATCTCACGGATATCGTACATCAGGTCAATATACCTTGCAATTTTTCGATGTGCATAATAAACAGCCAAGATCGTCTTCTGAAGTTGTTGCTTCAGAAACCTGATCTATGTGTTCAGGAGGAGGCGGTTGTTAATCTTCCTTTGCCTATTGTGACAGACATTCTTTAAGTGTATCATGAAATTTTGTCCAACTCTTTCCTTCAATTAACTGCATCATATCTTTTTTCGACTGTCTTTATGATCAGTAATCTCATTTTAATTAACTGAGTGTTATCGGGTTTTTTCTCTTATTTGTTATCAGAATTTACTCATCACGTAACCACTTGTTTTCAGCCCTTCGGACTTTTGTTACATTCAATGTTACAGTTTGTTTGTACTAAAGGTATATATTTAAAAAAATTATTCAGTCAATTGGATTTATTTACACCCTTGTGATACTATACTGATATATGATCATAGAAATTTCCAACTAAAATGTTTCATGTAAGTAATTTAAATCACTTTGTAATTATGATTTTAAATACTATAAGTTGTAAGCAGCTGATGAAAACTAAACAAGATACAATGAATTCATGTTATTCTGTGCAAACCTTTTTCTTGTCCTCTACAAGATGCTAAAGAAAACTATGTATGTAAAATGTATCGTATTTACCTGGAACCCATCTATTTCTATCCTCAGTACAAGTAATTTAGTGATTTCACTACAGACAAGGAAGGTCTGAGAACTCCTAAGAATAATTGTAAGCAGCGTACATATATTTTTAACTTAGGTTTCACTGGGTCATAGACTGATGAAGTTATTGAGATCTAAACGAATCTTCTGCAAACGAACTGTCATTTTATCATCTGTTTATTTATTAGAGCTGATTAAACGCTAAGGATAAAGAGAATGGTCAATGAATTCGCGCATTAACGATCAATTACAGAACATTTCCTGTCTGAACAAACAAATATCAAACCATTTTTATTATTTTTATAGAAAAAATGAGTTTTGTTCGCAGATCGATTCAGTTACATCATTCTAAAATAAACACACTACATGGGTCTAAATTAACAAAATTACAGAGAGTCAGATCGACTATATATGAATCAATAAAAACTTCAGACTATCGATGGAGGACGTGAGAACGAAGATAAGAGCTAACATAGCATCAGATTACCACCTAGTTTTGGACAAGATAAAATCAAAGCTAAGGAAGCAATTAACAACTCGAGAAACATCGTTACAAGAGATTAGTACAGTCTTCATTCGAGATACTGATAAACTCAAAAAATGCAAGATGGCTCTTAACAACAAGTTCCAAATCTTACAAGATCTACTCAAAGAGTAAACTACTATGGAGAACTTGATAGGGTTCAAAAAAGCACTAACTTCAACGTGTCAGAAAGTGCCAGGCCACAAGAAGCCTCATCATAAGATATAGATCTCTATCGAAATCCTGGATAGGACATAAGAAGAATGAGAAGACAGCAATAAACAACAGCCAAACAAGAGCAGAGAAACCCAAAGCACAGACCGAATACAGAGAAACAAACACGAGAATGAAGATCTCTGACTCGAAATCCTGAAGTGAAAAGGAAAATAGCCAGACTAAACAATACATTGTGCAGGGAATCGAAGGCACACATTAAAAAAATGAATAATATCTAGTATCATGTCAAGCCCACATGGGTTATTCCAGCTTCTGGCAAACCAGTTTATCCACTTTTCTTGAGTCACATTTTTACTTTGTTTTCTATGTTTATTAACCTTGACTGTTTATATGAGCGTAGGCGTGTGCATTGTTCAATCTAATCAACACATATCTGTAGTTGATTTTCGTCTGACTATAAATACTGAGTCTCGCTTCATCAAAACGAGTTGGCTCACTCGCCTTCTCAGCTCCGCATTCTCGCTTCTTATTCGGAATATCTGTCTGGATGAACGAGTGCTTGAAATTTATCCAATGCAACCAGTCTTTGGTTTTTTATAACCGCCATCACACAAATGGGATTACCCCAGGTAGTATACAGAGTTAAATCGAAGATTTATGTTCATAGCATATTCATACATTCATTCGAATAGAAGTCAGATCAACGAGTTACTAAAAAACTAATACTGATGTCGTTCATTAAAAGTGATTTGTACCAAGGTTATTAACATTTTTATTGGATCTTGTCATTGATAATTGTCTCATACATGATAATTTATTCAACTGACTTCTCAAGGATTGCTCTGTCTGAAGACTTCCTTAAAGTACAAAATTAACGGTTTCATTTTATGAGAACACAGATGAAATGCATAGCAACCATACAAGATTGTTGTAGATTTTTCAACTAACCATAAAAAAGACTCATCTATCTCAACGATTACAATAAGGATGAAACAAGCAGACAAACGCATTATTTACTACGCTATTCAGACCATTAAAAAAATATTCCCAATTGAAAACCAAAAATGATGGTCTTAGCTGTCAACTGGCTAATATATTTTAAAATTCGTCTAAACATAGTGCACTAAATGTTCATTACCACCTGCCAAAATAATTTTCTGAAATATATATATAGTATAAACCTACCGTGCCGGCGGAGTCGAAGCACTTCTGCAGCTTGCACGTGGTATTCATCCCGCTCTAATGTAAACTGTTGAGCGGCTACGGCACAGTAAGATCTTAAGTGATGTAGTCGACACAAAAGAAGATGATGTAGCCTAAGAAAAGAATACCTAAAAATAACAGAAAATAAATCTCATCTTTATGGTTAGTAACTAAGCAATGTTAATAAATCAAAGACTCAACACAAAATGGCATTTGGCATTCCAACAAGTTCTAACAATGCGAAAGAATAACAACAACAATAAATCCTAGAATAGATAACTACCAAATAAGTAGTATCTGAAAGTTTGTATATCCCTCTTCATACTTAATACATCTTAATATCAGTAACTCTTTATTTATCTAACAATCAAATTACAAGAATCAGCGTTCGCATTCCCGTCCAATAATAGGGGTCATATCAGGTTATTTTTTGAATAAGACCGAAATAGTATGGATTACGTACATCATCAAGAGGTTAAGCAGAACTCTGAACACAATAACTTCAATTTTTTTATAAGTTGTAAAAAGCGGTAAACATACTCAGACGGACGTTGCATATTTTCGGATACTTGTTCACATCCAATCCCTTCATAAGATTCAACGTTCTGTTTGCTTGTATTGAAGTTGCGAAAGGTAACCTCCTAAGAGAGGAGGTTTGGCGTTAATCGCGAACTGACTAATTTTTCCGAAGTATCCCGTTGGCTGATTCGTGTGAACTTTAAGAGTTACCACATTAATTATATTAAAACACTGTGTGACCTGAATTAATAAGAGTTAATGTATACTAACATGTCTCAAGGGATCCAAGACAAAACTGATGTTTATAAAATTCAGGGTCTCGGAGCAGTTCAAGAACTTTAATATTGCCTGTTTGGATCTTCCCATTGATATTTAAGACTGTAAGCGATCACTCCGGGATACAGGCACATCCAGCTGACCAGTCCGAAACAAGACGGAACGCGCGTCATGCATTCCACTACTACCCACCATTCATCTTTGCTTAAAATTAGGGAACTTTGTGTAGTTTCCAATCAACACGTAAGCGCCTACGGATTACCGGAATAATAAGTAAATCGAGTCCAGTACATCCATAGACGCTGATAGAAGAGAAATAGAACCTAGCCCAACCTTATATAGGTACCTTATTACACTTGAAATTATTGTTAGGATAATGGATAAACAATTAACCATCTCTGAGTCTAATATAAGTAGCTTAAGGTCCACTTTCGGAAAGCAAACAGCTCTTATCAAACGACAGATAACCTCATCATAATTAACAAAAGCAATGAATAAACTACATACAAAATATAAAATTAAATTATGGGTGATTATGGTTATAACTCATGACATGCAAATTAAAAACATAATTACATAAGAAACTAACCAATGGTTGTTTCCATATAGTACAGAGTAGCATTCATTTTTAGGTAAACTAGCTATGTATGCAAGCTCCATATTACGAAGTTCATTTTCAGAATTATCTTGATTTATGTGACAAGGCATAGAGTTACTCTGTATAGACAATTCTGGAAAAATTAAATCGTCTGATTTCAATTTTGAAGATAAACCATTATTATGGGCACCAAGTACCTCTGTCTGAAATTTTATATCATCTTTTCGTAACTGATCAAGTTCGGTGTGATTAAATATTGTTTGTTCAGTAGAGACTGGTTTTCGAGATTCGAGAAAGCGCTTAGTTGACTTAGGTTGACGTACAGATCGAATACGACAATGTTCTTCATTTTCAATCAAATCATCTGCTGTCGGCTCGTCTTCATCCTCTTTTTGATTAATATCTTCATCTTCATCTTCATCATCTTCATCATCGGACATAGGGAAACGATTTGCCATAAAAATATCTTGTAATACAGTACGGATCTGTAGATGAAAGAAAATCAATTGTCGACGAATCTTAAATTAAGCTATCATTTAAAATATTGCGAAGACGTTTATGCAGCAACTGTAACTAATTTGTGACATTCTTTTTACTAAAATCTCAACGAAATATGAACTCCAATATCCCTTACCCATAATCTCCACTGTATTAACAATTTTTCTGTGTAATAATGAAATATAAACACTATAGTTAATAACATCTCAATTATAGTAATTCTTATCCATTAACATTTCACGTCTATTTCACCAAATTTCTCGTACCTCGAGGTTCAAACTTAACACAATTATTTTTTTCCTTAGAACACAATAAAATCTTGGTATAATAGAGTATAAAAAGTCCTACGTACAATGTGTACATGTTCAGCTTAGCATCAATAGAATAGTGTAACAAGTAGTACGGGATGTGAGAAATCTAACAGTAGGATCACTTTTTGAAAAAGTCGGTTAATCAATAGCATTATTTTTAAAATTCAAAAAAACTATGTAATACTGCTTTGACACCAACCAGAAAGCTTACAAGGCTGAAAACAAATCTGAATTTTAGAAAACATGCATAAAAGACCCGAAAGTTTCAGAACGGTTGGCCCTTGACAATTTATTGTACAGACAGACTGATAGGTCACTTGAAGATTAATCAGTGCTGGTACACAATACTAAAATTGATGGGGACTTCCTTTATAAATTTTACCTAGACACTCATTCTCAATTGAGTTGAGTCATGTTGAAATGCATTCGTTAGTTAATACAGACAAGAACAAATATAACGAGACGACATAAGTAAGACAATAGAACGTCCAATTTTTTGTACAGAATATATTAGCAGAGTATTTATCGATGTTAAACTGAATCCAAACTACAAAAAGTTAACTCTAGGAGGCAATATGAGTACTATCGAAAGTTACGTACTTTGACATACTGGTAATACAACCAGGAAAATATACCAACTTTGGTATTTCCCATGAAGGATGATTTTTGATGACACCGATTAGCCCATTTTAGCTAATCAGAGCTAAAAGACAGATGAAGAAGACTCTACATATTCTTGTGTATAGATTATAAATTTACTAACAGTTTTCTCACTGTGATTGTTACTCCCCTTCAAACTTGTCTATTTGAAATATAATTTTGTTCATGTTCAAACGTTTCCTGATTTGGAAGCTAGTCGAGTGAAGTAGTGTCCGAAGAATACTAAGCAATGAGTAGTTAGGTTGTATAAAAATATCTTGAAAGAACGTTCAAAAAATTACTGGTTATGTAATACCGTATAAACATACCAAACATTTCATGGAACGCTTATCGTTTTTGCTTGCATTAGACTGCCTTTTAACATGATGAATGATCAAAGAGGCAGCATCTTCCAAAAGTGTATTCCTAACATCTGGTGGTGGATACACCAAAGTAAGATGAGCTGATTCATCTTCATTATTGCCTTCCAATACATTTGCTAACGCAGATCCCATAGTTCCTGGATTACTAATATCTCGCGAAATAAGGTTTCGTTGAGTAATCAGAGTAGAAATCATTTTGCCAACAGGATCTGAAGTAGAATGACATGATGGAATCTGGACGGAAAAATCAAGATAGATCAAAATAAATGAAAAGAACTAATCGGAACTACTTAGATTATGCAGTAAAAAAAGCAAGTATTGGAAAAAAATGGAAAGGTTAACGATATTAATGGAAGACAAATAGTTAAAAATTACTTGGATCTTAACAAATTGACTAACTTCTTAGACAAGTTGAATTCGAAAGAATCTAAAACCTTTTGATTATTTTTAAATAATCTTCAAATATTAGGGTTTTTACGTAAAAAACACAAAATTACATCGGTTTATTTACCAATATTTCCAACAAATCCAGAGAATGATACATGTCAAACCAGGTTTCTTCTCATCTAAATGTACTAAAAACATTAGAGTACGTTCGGAAACATTTCAGTGTAGCTAAACTAAACTTGATGAAGACAATGATTGGTGGTTTGTATCGTACAGGGGGATTCAAATTCTTTAACTTGAGTTCTGGTAACGTCACTAGGTAATACGCTTCAAAATTAATTGATCTTAATCATTTAAATCTATTCAATTAAAAAATAAATTTCCATTAGAGCGAGTTGACAATTCAAATTTATTTGGGTTTTCTTTAACTGGTGAATAGATGATCAACTTTAAGATTAACAAATAGTGGTAGTGGCCTTAACAATCGATCTTTATTCTTTGAGCAAACTAGATTTGGAAATATTATGAGTATCTCGAATTGAGGACCCGAGCAGTAGGTGATATCCTCGGTTTATTTATGTCAACTGGCTTACCACTTACGTGTTACATAAAATTAATTGTTTCTTTTTTAAGTAACAAGGAGACTATGATAAATATAAAGAGGTATAATTTAACTAAAAAGCTCACCTTATCATTACGCGCAATTGTTTCAATCTGACTAATCATAGTCTTACTACGAATGAATGGAGCATCTCGTTGCTTGAATGTTGCTCCTTGGTGGTCTAAAGAACGCAAGTAGTTGCGAGCATCCTGATCAGCCCAGGAACGTTGATAGTTGCGAATAGTTTCCCGCCACTCGGAGTCTTTCTGACGCATACGTTGTATGACTAACGGGAGAACAGTATTAGGACAATTTTTCAGGCCATATATTACATCTCCTGCTTTATCACCATAAACTCTAAATACCAACAGAAGTAGAGACATATTATAAATGGAATCCTGAATAAAAAATGATAGATCAATCAGTCACTAGATGAGAAACATTACCATATTTAACACGGACTATCGACTAGATTCAATCAAGTACAATAGCTACTATCCATTTAACTGGAAATCGCAAACATGCACAAGCAATATCCGCCTAATAACTAATTCACTCTTGCATCGTTTTTCATATACTATCTCAAAGAGATAGGATATTTCAATTTGAAGAGTTGGAAACAATTACTTAACATGATAATTAACTTGAAAAGATTATTGGTTGCATCGACTAAAACATTATATTGTAATAATGATCTTGGCAACAATAATAAAAATAAGGATTGATACCTGTGTATAGCTTTCTTCATTAAAACCGCAGATGTCCCGCCTAGTTTATCATCCAAATGGAATTGGTTAAGTTCCTCTTTACTCATTCTGTCCATACATCTTTTTACGACGACAAGATTCTGCATTGCAGCTCGATTGAGTTCGGTGACCATATCTACCTCATAACGTTCATCTTCTACTCGATACATATTTTCTTCATACTGGTTCTTCTTAGATGATACAAACTGAGAATCTTCAGAAGTGAGCGAAGAGAAACTAATATACGAATCATTCAAGACCTGCAATAAAAGATTAGATACTTCTTTAGAAAAAATGAGACCATTACAAAACATCACAAAAAGAGAAAAATGACAGGTTTCCGATACATTACATTGAGTAATCTCATGTAAACAAAATTTCTTAGAATATTACAGCACTAAATGTGGAAGTCAATCTTATAAACTGAAGTCATGTTAAGATCTGCGAACGAATAAAAAACTGTATGAAGATGGCGAAATTGGGAGAATGTGGCGCGAAATTCGCAAATAAGGCTGTCTTAAAAGTGACATTATAAAGCTAGTAATTGTGAGATTATATACAAGTGTAAATGCTGTAAGAAATGGTCTAATTCGCAAGGAATAATAATCTACCGTGAATGCTTTGTACGTGAAGCGTGTAAGCGGCTGACGAGAACTTAACAAATGAATTACTCACCCGAAACCGTTATTCGCGTTCTCTTCAAAACAAATGTTAATCAGTGGTCACAGAACTGCATATTATTGTGAGAGTTAACCACACTATTGAGACATTTTGGTTGGAGTGGGACTGTGTTTAAAACTACAGTTTAAAGTCTGAGAATTGAACATTTACGATTTCTTCACTAATTAGTACTCAGTATACTAAAATTATGATTTGGGAGATAAAATATATGCGTTACTAAACACACAACGATTTGGTTGACTACGATCTCCACCAGTTCACTTATCAAGAATTGCATTGACGATCTACCAAAAATTTTCCAAATTTTGGTATTTAATGCCGAACATATTAACACGAGTCGAAATGGTTTTAGCATTTAACTTACCATGAAACTACTATAAATGTACCCAAACTCGTAACAATTGGCTTACCTCCTTTGCAACAGGACATTTCTGACGACCAGAACACTTGCTCTGTGGAAAATTCGATGGTAGCGCTCGATAGCTTACACCGCATGTTCGAAGTTTAGTAAAATCGAGATCCAGTCTTTTTTGGGATGCTTCACTGACAAGTGATATTAGTGAGGCAGGTGGTTGATTGTTCATGCTGTTCGGTGGGGCATCAGAACAGGTATGAGGATCGCATAAAAAACTACAGATATTATGTTTGTCACGATCATGCTTGTCTCGACCATAGCCATGAGTATGAGATTGAAGATGTCCAAATCCTTCTTGAGATGAATTACGTGATGTCTAGATCACCCAAAAAAGAACGACAACCATAATCATGACCATAAAGTGACATTCACAGAAAAAAATTAATTGTGATATACGATTCTCACCAACATAGACTAAGTTAGTGGTTCAGTGGTAAAAGCATCAGATTCAACAATTAGGTCGCACGTTTGAATCCGGCTCTATTTACTTCGATTTAGAAACCCAGATAATTAATTATGGTTGGCAGTAATTACGTCTAATGGTTTACTGATAAGCTGTTCCTCATGTACATTAGATATGTGTACTAGAACGATGACTGTGCCGGTAATCAGTGCTAGTCAGAAACAGGTTGTAGTCTGCGCAAAGTTACAATAGACGGTCACCATTATCTGACCTGAAACCAACAAGTCCCCAATGGCCACCTAAAAGCATCTCTTCTGTGCCTAGACGCCCGATCTGAATATTCAAGTCTCCAGCTAGTATTACAATATCTACCTATTTGTAGAACAGCTGACCGATGGTAAAACCCATCCTTGATCGCATCTAGGCTGCAACCTGTCAGATTGTAGGCGATGACGAAAAGACATCAAATACATGGTATATGTTGTCGAGTGAATTAACGAAATTATATGACAGTTATTTTGAAACAAATCACTCCTAATCGCAATCGTACTGAGTATAATTTGCGTTTTTCATCAAGCTCGTAAATCCGAAACGTAGGGGGAAAAACCTTTGAATTTTTCTTACCATGATAAAGTCACTGAAACGCTTCCAAACTTCTACATGTCTCAGGAATAGGGGATGAGTCGCTTCCAATAATTCATCGGCTGAAATTATCCGACGATTAAACAAACAAACATTTTGTAGGAAGGTTTGGTACGAACGATTCCCAACTGGACTGTCTGCATCTAAAGCATCTCGAATCTAGTGAGGAAATAAACTTACGACAATGACCTACCTTTTGTAACAGTGAAACACCGATTCCCGTGGTCAGTTGATTCGCATCAACAACACTTACATCTCGAACTGACGAACGTGACTTTTTAGGTGGATTGAGAGACGGGACAACGTTTGGGAATATACTTTGTGTAGGAGCAAGTCGTTTCAACTTTTTGGCATCAGGATTCGCAGGACTTCCCTCCTGACCTGGACGCTGTTTACACGAAGATAGTGCTAAGCTGATACCTTCAGAAACACGATTTATCAAGTGAGGCACTGGAACAGATGGATCTAATGCATCAGATCCACTAAGCTGTGAATAGCTGGAATTTTTCCTATTTATTATCGTTTCTGTCTATTATAAAGGGAAATTACTTAGGAAAGATAAAAACCTACAACAGCACTTGTGACACCAAATGATTCAGGTAGGAACTGACTAAATTCTTGAAGTAGATCTTCTTGACCGCCAAAAAGCTTGGCGACGTCCTGATAAACCTGTAATTCTGCCTGTTTGCGGCACATAGGGTCCGAATGACGTTGTTCCTTTTGATACCACTGTAAGATATCCAGGAAGCGTTTGTAAACATCAGGTATACCCTGGAAGCGATTCTAAATCAGTCCTGTTTAAGAAAACTTGGTATAATTTACCTTTATTTTATTTACGTACTGGAGAGCATGATGGAATGATTGAATTTGTTGATGCTGTTGATATACATGAGGAGAATGAGTTAAATTTGAAGCATTATGGGAGCTTCTAAGCATAACGTTTGGAAGGTTTTCCTGACAATCCGCCGGTAATAACTGTTGCTGACTCGATGAGTTAAAATTGGGATTGTCAGGTTGAATATTAGGAGTTAAAACATGTACTGGTGAAGCGCTAGTTAACGGTAAGCTGTTCGATACAACCGGGACATAGGAGTTTTGACGACTAGCAGGTTCATGGTGGCTGCTAACTAAGCTTGTTAGACTTCCTGGTGGAGTCCATTCACTAGGTGCCTCAGTAATTTTCAATAAAGCACAAATCCCTTTTACTGGAGTAACATTATCTGCCGAGGATATAGACAATGTTGTTCTTGAAGGGATAACAGTACAAGTAGGCTTGGCATTAAAAGACTGATGAGATGTGAGTGTATCCATTCGATACCCTTGAGGTATGAAAGTATTGAATCCAGTAATAAGATCAGGATGACCCTCGAACAATTCACGTACCCGACGAATAACAACCTCCGTCCCAATCCTTAAAACATAAATAATATCTTAGGAAACTTACGTTTGTGCTTTGAAATCACGCATGACATCAAGAAAGTCCATATAGATAGCCCCCTGGCCAGAAAACCTAGCCTTTACCTGGTCAAGGTAGGATAGAGCATCCTCAACCTTGAGGCACTTCATCATTGTTTACTACCAACTACAATTAAAAGAATGAAAATTTCAACGACAGAGAAAAGGAAATAAACGAAATTCCATAAAAGATATTTTTATGTAGGGCGCTAAGCGAAAACGAACTCCACAGACCTTTTGATTTACGTAAATTATTTTTAGACGAATACGAATCCAACGAGAAGCTAATAAACAATACCTAGTGTGCACATCACTGAAGGTAAAGGCTTCGGACTTAGCCCTGAAATTTGCGAACAAGTGACTAAAAGGCTTAATATTACTACATTTCCTTAAACGATCTATGGCGTTTTGATAATCCTTGTATTGAAGCTTGGGTAAACGAGTGTGACTGATTTTTTTGTTAGTTGTTATCAATATCAGTGGTCATCCTTTGAATCCTCAGTAGTATCAGCACATTCTCTAATATTTTAGTCTTATTCATTTTCTGAACTGCATTTGCTATGATTAGTTGTGCACAACTATGTTACCATGTTACCTGTCTTACTTATTGCATGAATTTTTTTGCTATGCCCACGGGATGTGCCAATTTTTACAGACACAAATTACTATGAATTTCCATATCGCGAAACGCTGACCTAGACCACTTCACACTTCGAATGGAGAAACGAAATGTCTTTGAATACATACAATATGAGACAATGGCTTGGTGGTTACAGCATTCGACACTGAGCTACTAGGTAGCAGGTTGGAACCCTTTCCGACCTTCTCTGGGTTGTCAGACCTCATTACTTATTACAAAGTGACACTAAGTTGGATGCATGTGTCTGTACTTTGTAAATGAGTTACATTATATCATATCGCAATAATAATTGGTTAGAAATTCGGTGTCTGCGCTAAGTTAACCATAATTGGACGAACTAACTAGGTTTCAACCAATAGATTCCGGGTTCAACACCCATATTGTCTGAATGAATTTGGGGAGTAGTTTAGTACTACTAGAATTTACATAGTTATTCAAAACGAAATACAAAAATTTTCACGTAGTAAGTAACACTAAGTCGTCATCGATCTCGCGCCTTATTCCGGACAATATCCTCGATAATTCATTACTAGTCAAATGAACTTTGTTTTACATGTGTTGACGGTTAATACAAGCACAGTTTACTTACTAGGACTTGAGGTATTGTCTGTGAAAATCAGAGGTAACATCCAGTCTGTCATATGGAAGTATGTAAAGAACGATTTGAAACTAAAAAAACTGCATGGTGATCGTATTCAAATAATGAATTTTAGCTATTTGAAACTCGTGTCAATGAGGTTTAAGTTTCAAATTACCCTTTGAATAGTTCCTTGGAAACAAGATACCTCCCAGTTTAAGACCTTCGGGAACACTACCGTGGTGAATTTCCACTAACTAAATATTTATGCCCACTGACCAGTTACGATCACAACATTACTCGAGGTAGACAGTGATTAAACATCCCTGGAAGCCGATACTTTTTAGAAGCAAATTTAGTCGGAACAAAATGGGCAGTGTATAGCTACTGGGGATCACTCTAACTAGACAAATACTCATGTTACTAATTCAGGGGAATGCGTCTGTAACATCCTAGACTTTCGACATGTTCGCAAAGGTCAGTGAAGCGAGATCCAAGCGATCAGATGACGAAAGGAGTAAACGCAAGTGTTTGACTGTATCTACTAACCACACAATAATTTCGTAACAAGTAGTTTGTCTCTAGTTGGAACTAAAATTTGTGCACAATTATCAAGTAATTACTATCAAATACTTATATAAATAGTTGTAGATATCAGGATTTAGCCCATCAACAAATAGAACTAACTGGACAAGACTTCAGAATAATATCAGTAGGGAATAGCTGCAGTGATATATTTGAAACAACAGTAGAACATGAAGAATTCAATGACACGACCCACTAACAATTAAATGAATTCTTTAAAGTCGTACAATTCGAAATGCATCACATTAGTCTACAGCAAACTCAAGTGATTTAAGGCGTTTGGTGCAACTAACAAAATTAGGATTTTATTATAAAAAGACCTCAAAATAAACAGAAAACCATGGATCGAATTTTTCAGAAAAGTAACTATAAACGAGCGTTATACCAAAATGCATTGATATAGAACCACATAGTATAAAAAATTTTCCAAAGTTACGGATACGCATACGAATGACAACGAAAAGAACTGCGAAACTAACTTACTTCATTTAAAGGTAGACCAAAGAAAGTTAAAGGTAGCAGACAAATTACGGAAATGCCGCAAGGTAATACTTCAAACAAAACATACAAAACTGGGCCTCTTGGGGACAGTATTTGATACGTCTCAGTCAGTTTTTTTGCCTCATTCAACTATTTCGAATCGTTATGAGCGGAGTAGAAGAAGCTTTCGCTTAACGAGCCTCCGTATTTACTAGCAGTGGTTCACCGATGCCTCCAAGTAAGGACCTAAGTATATTTGGCAACAGAAAAGAAAAATGCAGTAAAACAAACAGAGGTATTGTCCCTATTTCCCAATAATATGTCAAGTTTCCCCTCAAATGACTCTTGAGGAGTCGCATCGATGACCTCAACCGGCAGCGAATTTCATCATTCGACTACTCGTAAAGAGCAAAAAGTGTGCCTACAGTCCGTTCTGCTGTGTTGTGTCCCCAGTTCATGAGTGTTTCCCTCAAGGGTTTTGTTAGGGCTGAGCTTAAGTAGATGTTTAAGGGGGGTACCCAGAAGTGTTTGGGATTCTGTAAGTCATTAGAAAGTCACCTCTGAGACGCCTATACTCTAGTGGGTGAATGTTTAGTGATTGAAGGCACTTTTCACAAGTCCTGAATTTGATTTCCCGAACTAATTCCATGGATTGCTGTCAGATACGTTCCAATGTATCCTCATCTTTTTAGAGTAGGGGAAGGAACACTATATTTCCATACTCGAAACGGCGGCGAATAAAGCTGTTGAGGATTAAGTGGGAAGTTTCACTATCAAACTGGCCGAAAATGAGCCTCAATGTTAGCAGTGCAAGGCTTGTTCGAGCAGCGTTTTCAGTACAGTTAACTTATGGCTCTAGACCATGGGGCACCAACACTTCTAGATCTTTTTTCAAATTGGGATACCTCTAGAGAGGAGTTACCTAAGTTATATTTGTGGTCTGTAACACGTCTCAGATGGACTATTTTACACTTTGAAGTCCAGTCAGATCTTCTTGAAGTGCCAGGTTATCATTTTGGTTGCAAACTTCTCTCCCGAATTTCACATCGTCAGAGTGAAGCAATAGCTCAGAAGACACTTATTGAGGAAGGTCATTTTTATATGTTACGGAAAGAATAGCTCTTGGTACTGATATTTGAAGGGCTCCACTAAGTCATTCTATAATCTGAAGAAATGGGAAGTTTACACTGTCGGTTATTTGGATATGAAGTCACTTGATACCTATTAGTTTGAACTTATTAACGAGGCATATATGATTGACCTTATCAACAGCTTTTAATGAGTCAAAGTATGTGACATCTACCGTCCCTTTGTGATCAAGTTCGGTCGTCCATCTGTCAATCGCGGTCAGTGCCTGTTGTCAGTAGGATGTTTCAGCTCGGTTTTAATGATGAAATCGAAAGTCTGGAAATCGTATTGGTAGTCGTGTTAGATCGTGTACTTTTCCTATATTTAGCTGAACGCCTGATTGCAGGAACTCCTAAGTTTTCTTGAGGCATGATCGGAAAGTGATTAGTCGAAGATGGATAGATGGCAAAGTATTGAGGTGGAAACAATAGTGCGAAAACCATGGTGAGATGCTCAGGGTAATTCTGAGATCAAGACCTGTGTTCGAAACAAGTGTGAGAATATGATGAGCGATAATGAAGACGAAAAATGCAAAAGGGGAAGATGACGTGGGGTTCGTTGTAGAGTTGAAGTATATGAGTGTGTGTTTAAATGTAAGATGGAATGAAAATTTGCGTTGACTGAATTTAAACCTAGCGTTTAATTTTAAAAATATGCGTCACATGCCATGTTGCTTTTTGCATCCGTTTGTGGGAGAATATAATGCCACCTTTTCCGATCTTGTTGAATGCATATAAATTTGCAGATCTGTCATCATTCCCATTCCTTTGTCCCAATCCATGTCTTCTCATGAAATTTTCATACCCGACGTTGTCCATTCATACTTTGGCTTTGCCATAGCTTACCATTCGGTTTTTACGATTTTTCATATTGAAGCTTGTTTTAGTACATCTTAAGTTTCTATACGGACCATTTTTATCCGTTTTATTCATTTTTAGTATATTGTTTTTCCATGGTCATAAATGTTTGCAAGAATTTGTTTAACATCTTAGACCATTATTAAAAACACATGTAAGCAACCTAGGTGCTCTTTTGCTATCACCTGTAGTATACATTGTGACAAATACAAAGGTTGGTTCCACGAAGCATGCATAGACCTTACAGCAGCTGCTTTTTACAAACCTAGTAAGTCAGATAGCAGTCAGGTATGTGGCACATGCAACATGAATGCTAAGGATTTACTGAGCAACATCAAAATTCTTTTGACAGGTCTGCGAAAACATCGACAGCAATCCTGATAAAATGCAGTCTCGAAACGTATAAACACATAAAGACGCTCAAAGTTTAGAGGGTCTTCAACAAAGTAATATTTATGGGACATGCCACAAAAATAATGAGGGTATGCTGAGACTTTGCAGCTGTGGTCTTGTGGTCTCTTACTGTAGGCGGATGGACCCTTGCAAACAGGGTTAAAAGAAATCGAATGTCACCACTGAAAATGCTGGACAGCCCAGTTCACGTAAGAAAATCAGCAAGTGAATTGTCTGTGTAATCGACCTTCAGGATTGTCCAACCAGTCAGCAGAGGATAATTTTGATGCCAACGTGTCTTTTAACGGTACGGGTACGAGCCATCTCGTGCATCTGTCTATAAATGTTAGTAAATGCATATAACCATATATACAAACCATATTCTGAGCGTAATAGGATCTGGAACATCCCTAAGGAATCTCATGAGACGTTTTTTCGCTGGAGTAATATCATTTTAGAAGGTATCCCAGAAAACACGGACCCTGTTTGTGCGGACTATGATCTTCTACAGTGCAAATTCATAAAGCAGTGCTTGAGACTGAAGAATATATTGACTCTACAATTGGTGTAATTAGCCAGGAGGGACAGCGATTGTACATACCGGCTCGTGAAGATAACCTTCTTATCTTCTTACATGGTGACTGCCACTCTCGTGGCACTTCGCTCCAACAGACCTCGGTTACCAACTGGAATCCACGTACATCCGGACAGGCCATATGATGCAAGGATGAAGTGCAGAGGCAAACTGGAACAAGGACAAAAGGTAGGGGGACAGGGCTGCCAAATCAGAATACCCTGTGTATGTAGGTTGCCTGTCCATTCACATAACGCTCATTCAGATTAACAGAACAAGGAAGCTAACGCGTTTCAAATCGAAAGCACTAATGGTATGACTTTAAGTTGAGTCGACTTTTACCCTGTGCTAATTTTTGTGTCGTTGACTGAAAAAACTAGAGAGCAGCGTATTTATCGGCCGATTCAATGACACGTAAACACGTACGAACGTAATGGACGATCTAGAGTTCCGATTGGTCCCGATTCCCTGTCTATCCCAGCCAGTTGAGTCCAGAACACAAATCTCAGCCTCTGAGTTATGAATCATTGTATTTCAGACATACTCTATTTATATACTAACCAAACATACCACATCGTACCATAAAAATAGAAAACAACATTTTGTAAAATATTCAACAAGTGGACAGATATCAACCAGTAGGAAATGTCCATTTAAAGTCCAAGGACACCATTGGACTTAACATGATAATTATTGGTCTATCCTTCCGCATCCACAACAACTAACTACCTGTATACGAACCCCGCGATTATGTCGAATCAAATGGATGGGTGGTGTAAACTAAGTAATGCTAGTAACACTTGTGTGGTAGAAACACCTGAAACATGGGAATTTCCAAGTCCTGGTGACGAGCTAACAATACCCGGCATGCCTTTGATTATCAACAACAGGAAAACAAGAATGGGGCGGAGCATTGATTTGACGATGTGAAATTCGGGAGAGAAGTTTGCAACCAAAATGATAACCTGGCACTTCAAGAAGATCTGACTGGACTTCAAAGTGTAAAATAGTCCATCTGAGACGTGTTACAGACCACAAATATAACTTAGGTAACTCCTCTCTAGAGGTATCCCAATTTGAAAAAAGATCTAGAAGTGTTGGTGCCCCATGGTCTAGAGCCATAAGTTAACTGTACTGAAAACGCTGCTCGAACAAGCCTTGCACTGCTAACATTGAGGCTCATTTTCGGCCAGTTTGATAGTGAAACTTCCCACTTAATCCTCAACAGCTTTATTCGCCGCCGTTTCGAGTATGGAAATATAGTGTTCCTTCCCCTACTCTAAAAAGATGAGGATACATTGGAACGTATCTGACAGCAATCCATGGAATTAGTTCGGGAAATCAAATTCAGGACTTGTGAAAAGTGCCTTCAATCACTAAACATTCACCCACTAGAGTATAGGCGTCTCAGAGGTGACTTTCTAATGACTTACAGAATCCCAAACACTTCTGGGTACCCCCCTTAAACATCTACTTAAGCTCAGCCCTAACAAAACCCTTGAGGGAAACACTCATGAACTGGGGACACAACACAGCAGAACGGACTGTAGGCACACTTTTTGCTCTTTACGAGTAGTCGAATGATGAAACTCGCTGCCGGTTGAGGTCATCGATGCGACTCCTCAAGAGTCATTTGAGGGGAAACTTGACATATTATTGAGGACTAAGGATACTACTTCTGAAAATGTCACAGGTATTCTGAGTTTGATATCACTTCAACCAGTTACACTTTCTAATGTGAATCGTACCCACCAAGTTCAATCAATAGACAGAGGCAGGAGGCACGAAAATATATTTGATAGGCTTTCATATATTAATATTCGATTTCACTCTGTACACTTTCACATAAATCTATATGTATTTATCCTGGAGTAGTGAATTTTTTATTTTATTTATTTATTTTATTTTTTAATTGCTGGTTAACTTCAGAGGCTGACATTCATAACACAATTATTATTATCATTGTTTAACCCTTTCACGACGTTTTCATTTTTTTATCTCTCGTTTTTCCCTCCTAGTAAATACTATTCTTAAGATTTCGAAGTTTGTAATTAAGACAATAACTTATATCACACTTAAATTAACTTCTCAGACTTGTTTTATC